TTTATATGAATATTAATACATTTTCTGTATAAAACTCATTTATTCCAAATACTTATCGAATGGAACTAATTTTTAAAATAATTTATTTGTTTTAAAAGTTTTAAACACATTTAATCTCCAACTGAACATGGGCACCTCACAACTCGAGTTTTAAATTTCGAATTTATTATTAATTTATTTCGCATTTTGCAGTGGCAATATTGTTCGAAATAAAATGTTTTATCTCCGACGCGCCAAACTGTTGTCATTCGGCAAAATGTTAGATAGTTATTAGCCCAAAGGGCTAACGCCCTTTGGCATTTTGCGTCAATTTACATTCTGCTTGATTAAACTTTCGAACTGTTGCCACCAACTATTACAGCTCTGTATTATATTTAAAGAAAATAAATAAGGAAGAATCTACATAATAAATGTATGTATGTTTCTCGCACTGTGATAAAATAACGGTACCTAGAGCCATCCAATTTTTAATAACATAATTTTCCATAGAATACGGGCCTAATTTGAGTTTGCAATTTGTTTTATTATCGATTTGATATTTTGTAACACTTCAACGAATTTTTGGTTAAAAAACTAAGCAATTTCAAAGCAACCAATGGTACGAAAAAAAACCGCATTTTTATCTCCAGCGCGCGAGACTATATATCGGAAATTCCAAAGATATGTTACCGGTACTGAACTACATCTGATTCTTTTCTAAACATGCACACATTTAATACATTCATACTTAATTCATACAGTAAATGCATTCATTCCGTAATTCCATACATTTTCGTACATTTTTTTCTTTGATAAGACTCAAATTTTGTTTCGTAAAACATTACTTTTTTTAAAGTTTTTTAGTGGCACTTTTTCAAAATAACATTTTTATTTTTGAGGAATGAGTAACAGCCTTATCATGACCTTTTTTCATTCTTTGCCTAAATGTCATTTCCCTTTCTATAGAAGGCCTAGGTACATTATATATATATACTAGCAGCTTCGCTGCCAGCCTTCGTCTGGCTTTTAAATGTATCGGAAAAATACCAAAATAAATAATGCAAAACAAAAAAGCAACTCAACATAAAATTCCGCGTAGAATTTTACTCTGCAGAACAAATTTATCAAAAAAAATTCAATAAAAATTTATTATATATATAAAAATGGCAATGAAATATGCCAATCTCTTAAACACAGTGACATAAGAAATACGTTGAAAAATTGTTGCCAAACCCATATTTCTAAAAGAATGAAACTACTCAGATTTTTGATGAAATCGCATCATTTTATCAACAAAAATAAGAAAGAAAACTGTTGCCAAAATCACATTGTTAAAGATGTGAGATGTGAGAAGTGTTCTCGGAAGCTTCATTTAAAAACTTTTTTAATAATACAAAATATTATCATTTTTCCAAAATTCTTTTTGTAAAAGCAGTCGCAAGGATGAAAGTTTAACGTGTCCAAAAATCAAAGAAAAATAAACTGTACGTTTTTAAAAATACACTTTTTTAGAAAAAATCCCGTTGAAAAGGTGTTAAGCTCACTTTGTTAAATAAATTCGTATTTAATCGATTTATTAAAATACAAAATTTATTTTAAGTTCGTAAAATAGCTAAGTGCCTACGTTTCATGACGATGTGAAAATGGAGTGTGTAGAGTAAAATCTCGCTTTCCTATAGCCCATTATGTCTCAAAATGACGCAATTTCGTCACAAAACATAAAATAAAAAAAAAAAAAAATTCGAATTCGAATTTCGAAAAAATCGCTTCGAGGTCCACTGGCTCTTGTTTAGATGCACCTATGTACCAAATTTCGTAGCCGTGGGTCTATTAGCTTACGCGCAGCGCGAACGAAAGACACACACAGACAGACTCTTTCTTTTCTTATAAAATGCCTAGTTATCCTACAGAAAGCCGGCATTTCCTACATTGCCAGTAACATGAAGAAGTCGTTCAGGAGGTTTTTTCCTTTCTGTCCGAAATGGGACAATGAGTTCAGCCCTGAAGTTCACTTCTCTTCAACTGTTGCACGCGCCTGAACCAGGGAGAAAGTCACGACTTGTCTAGAATTAGGTTTCGCATTCGCGGCGGTCACGATCATGAATTAGCCGTTCTCGCTCGCTTTCTGTCATTTTCCTGCAGCCACTTTTTAGAGATTCAACCCCATATTCCCTCATTTTTGTATCTCAGATGTATCTTACCCTTCATTTTTGACAACAGAAACGTCTTCGCTTATGCTTTACTTTCACTAGAGGCATCAACTTCTTAGAGTTTAAACCTGATCATTCTAACTTACCATACGGCTATTCACGGTTGTAGAAAAAATTTAGGGCGCTATCACGCCACTCACCCGAAGGCGAAAATAAGAGTCTGAGAGATCAGACAATCAGAGCTTTAAGGTGGCGTACACTAACATAATAAAATTTCAGTCATGAAAATCACCTGAGTCCTCACTGAAGAACATATAACTGCTTAATGAGAGATTCGAGATAATAATATCTAATTCTTGAGAATTCAGGGTATGATTATCACGTGACCGGTACTAGCCAATACGGTTGGATCCACAGTGGTAAGCGTGGTGAGTTCAATTATTTACACTTTGTACAAATAACACTAAAAGTCTTTGCCTGTCCAGGCACTAAGTCCATATTCTTAGTAGTAAGCACAAACAAACTAAAAGTCTAAACAACACTAAAAGTCTTTGCCTGTCCAAGCTTTAAGTCCATATTCTTAGTAGTAAACACAAACACGATTCACAAAGATAAAATAAATCTTGGTTAAATACTTTGGATAAATACTAGGATTAAATGCTTGATTAAATACTTCAATAAAATGAGATAAGTTGGATAAAACTACAGAAACGAAAATTTCTTTAAACTAAAAATAATTGGTTAGAATTCAGTTTTAAAATGTACAGAGGCTGTTCACACATTTTTCAGACGATGTATATTGTATTCACAAAACTAAATTACATAAAATTCTTGTGTTTTAAATGTTCTATTTGACATCCCTTATTCTGAACTATCTTTCGACACCGCAATTTCCAAGATAATAATGCCTTTTGAAGTGGCGGAAGAGATATTCTATTCCATTCCTCCCGAACAGCTTTTCAGAGTCCTGTTAGGGTTTTGGGACACTTTTGGATAATGCAGTTTTTAAAAGTCCGAAAGCACAAAAATCCATCGGGAGATTTAGTAGGGATATCAGTGAAGGGTATGGCCTTGATACCAGTTTTTTGTTCCATTTCTTTTAGGAAATGTACAGTGGATTTTGATATGTGACTGCTAGCTTTGTCCTGAAAGAGTCTCACAGATGGATGGCACTGTGGGTAAAGCGATGGTATTTCATTCAGAAAAATTGGCGATAAAATATGTTCCTGATAGTATTTGGAGTTAATCTTGACATTTTTTTGAACTCTCTTTATTTTTAACTTGTCATTATAAGAAAAACCAGCAACAATCATGAATCCCTTAGCAAAACTTTCTTTCCATTCTTTGAACCATGTACTTAAATGTTTTTCTCCCCTTTTATGATAATAAAAAGCTCTTTTTTTGTGACAATCATTTAAATACACCCATGCTTCATCTATTGTGACAATTGTTTTCCATTTTTCTTTGGATATGTGTTTCTCATATAGAATTCCGCAGCGTGTCCTGCGTTGAGCGATATGCTTTGGAAGAAGACGATGCACATTGCGTTTTTTCGCTTTCTTAAGATTTAAATCAACGTTTATCATTTTGTGTACAGTGGACACCGAGCATTTTAATGATTTTGCGACTGTCCTTTGACTAGGGGGATTTTCTTTCAACATTAATCAACATACCTTTGCAATAGTCGAAGATGTCCGTTTTTTTCCTTGGATACTTGTTTGGAATTTTTGTCCCACTTGAGGCTCCAATTTGACGTTTTTTTCCTTTCTTATTGATGATATTACCTATCGAGGCTTTAGATATCACAAAACCATGACTCTCGCATCGTTTTTGGATAAAGGAGTATGCATATTTCTCTTCCGAAAGAGCGTAAATGTAGTCTTCGAACCACTGCTTTGTTAAATTCGCCATTTTGAATAAAAACGAAACTTTCAAGCCACAGACGATAATTTTGACTTTTAAAAACATAGTACAATTGCAATTACTTCTTTTGCAGCAAACGAGTTTTTATTACCGCTTACCAATATCGTCTAAAACATGTGCGAACAGCCTCTGTATATACATATTTACAGCTACCACTTTACATTGTGGTTAGACAGGCTCAAATAATTAAAGTGCCCTCGAAACATATACGAGCTAATAAGTAACTATTCAAATGAACGTTCAATAGTTTACAATAGAGACGGAACACTAATAAGGCACAGAAGGGAGCCCCTCAAGGTTCGAACCTGGGCCCCATACTCTTGAATGTAATGGCCTATACAGCACTAGCACTGGACTTAGGGGATAATGTAAAAATTCAGGCATACGCAGATGACTTCATCCTAATAATCAAAGGAGGGACCAGGCTAAGATTAGAGGAACACGCCCACAGAGCGCTACAACAAATAGAAGAATGGAGCTTAAAATACAAGCTCCGATTTAGCATAGAGAAGACAAAGTTAATCCTATTTCCGAAAGGAACAAAGCTCCACAGATCACCACCCAGAACAAAATGGAAGGGAATCCCAATTCCGCGAAAGATGTCCTCAAATACTTGGACTTTATATTGGATTCGAAGACGACATGGATCCTACACCTAAGTACAATAAAAGACAGGACCCAGATCATGATTAATAAACTTAATAACATAGTCTCAAGGACATGAAATATGAAGGGGCAATTAATAAAGATTATCTACAACAGAGCGATAGAAAGGATGATCCTTTACTGATGTCCGATATGGCATACAGGTGATGGCACGGCAAAAGCAAAAATTATTACAAATACAAAGAGGAGCCCTGTTTAAGTATTACGAAAGCTTATGCAACAACGCCGACTTCAGCACTCCAAGTCCTTTCGGGAATATTACTCCTGGACTTGCGAGCAGAAATGGAAAGACAAATCTACAGGCTCATCCATTTTAAGGAAGATACCAGAATAGGAGATCTAACAATCTGGGCACATGAAGTCGAAGAAAGACTTTCAGCCCTTCACACGCACCCAGCAAAAATCTCAAAAATAAAATGGGAAAAAGATCCGCCACAGGGTAAAGATCTCGAAACATATACAGACGGCTCCAAAATGGAGAACAAGGTAGGAGCAGCATTTGTAGCATTCCTAAATAATGAGGAAATCTACAAAGAACAATACAGGCTAAATGACGAAGCCACAGTGTTCCAGGCGGAGGTCTTAGCACTTAAAAGAGCGCTCCTCTGGATAGATCAAAGGACAGAAAACACGCATAGGATATTTACTGACAGCTTAAGCACACTTCAGAGCTTAAATAGTATACAACAAAGATCAAGAAGCATCATTAGTCTAAAAGAGATGATACATACCATAAGGGATAATAAAGATCTCGAACTAAATTGGATTAAAGCCCACGTTGGGAACAAAGGGAATGAGAGGGCGGACGAAGAAGCCAAAAAGGCCACACAAAGATCCTCAATCGACATAACAGTTCCCCTGTCGGAACAGTCGGCAAAATCTAAGATCCTACAAGAAACACTAAGGACATGGCAGGAAAGATGAGAGGAAGAGGAAACGGGCAGAGAAACATACAAGTACTACCCAAGAATATCTCTTAAAAGGCTCAGGGCAAACCATCTATTGGTACAAATATTAACGAATCACGAAAGATTCCCGAGCTACATGTCACGTTTTCACAAGAGACAAGTAAGGTGCGCATGCGGCAGGAGTAGGTCCTTAGCGAACGCAGCCCACTACCTCTACAGATGCCCACAACTCACCAAGATAAGAGTCAAGATACTCCCGAAAATTCCAAGTCCAGAGATCCTAGTTACCAGCGAGCGACATATGGCGGCAATGAGGGAAATCATGAAAGTCATATTAGATCCCTCAAACAACCTAATTGTAACGATGTGAGTCTTACACAACAAAGAGACCTTGCATGGTCAAACTATCTGTTCTGTATATATGTAAATAGCTCCGTAATAATGTAACAATTCTTAATGTACTAATTTTAATGTTAATAATAACCAGTAATTGTAACCTTATTCTAATTATAACCGTTTTGTTAGTTTATATTAATCTTTGTTTTTGTAACTTTTAATATATTAATAAAGTAATTAAAGAAAAGATGGCCCGAGGGCCCAGATAAAACGATTTGTTGGGGACAAAACCTCGGCAGATCCTCCGGTCAGAGAGAGCGCAGTATGGTGCTTGCAAATCTACGAAGAACAAGCAGGAGAGATTTCTCCGCAAAGGCCCTCTCACAATCGCAGATTAGCCGAAAGGCTTCATAGGGACAAAGATAATGACACCAAAAGACCAGTTTCCTCCCGCCTAATACGGAGTGAGCAACCTAAAGCACGGATGGATTGCCAAGGTACACAATGGTATCAAGCGGTGCCAGGTAGCATAACCACCATTCTCACTCCTGCCTGATATGGAGTGAAGAAACGCCGAGTGTCGACGTGGATTCAAACACCACATCTGGCAAGGCGACCGGTCATCAAAACAAACAAAGCCACGCGCCTAATACGGTGTGCTTCCCACAGTTGCGTCATCTGACGCAGGAATGGCGTATAAAGTTTGATTGATTTACATTGTGGTGAATTGACCTAGGTCGTTTCACGACGCTTTCCACAGTGGGATCATAGTTCGTAATTTCTCTCAAAGTATTGACTGGCGAATTCTCTGGTGCTCTGGTGCAACTGAACCGATCATTGACTGGAAATCGATACCTTTAGCTACTTGGAGATCACTTACAGCCATTCATGGACTTCACGTACTCAAACAACGATGAGATTTTTATGGATGACAATGCGCCATGTCACCGGGCCACAATTGTTCGCGATTGGTTAGAAGAACATTCTGGACAATTCCAGCGAATGATCTGGCCACCTAGATCGCCCGACATGAATCCTATCGAACATTTATGGGACATCATCGAGAGGTCAGTTCGTGCCCAAAACCCTGCATCGTCAACACTTTCACAATTATGGACGTCTATAGAGGCAGCATGGCTCAATATTCCTGCAGGGGACTTCCAACGACTTATTGAGTCCATGCCACGTCGAGTTGTTGCACTTCGCCGGGCAAAAGGAGGACCGACAAAATATTAGGAGGTATCCCATGACTTTTGTCACTTCAGTGTATATAAGATGAAGCAAACACAGCACTGATTTTCTGGGTGTGATATAAAATTCCACTGATTGGCGTGAGATATTAAATTTGGGAAACTTACTTTCAATAATGATTTGTAGAACTCCAGTTCTCCAATGGAAGATGTTTTTTGAATAATTTTGGCAGCAGAAAAATTGAAAGTGTGATTTTCGGACCAACAATGTTGAGCAACAGAAGACTTCTTGTGTTTCCTTTTTTCTAACATATGCCTCATGTTCTTTGACGCGAAATTTTAAGGCTCTCTTAGTTTGGCCAATGTAAATTAAACCACACTGGCAAGGAATCCTATAAATACCCCAGGAATTCATATCCGGAATGGGGTCCTTGAGTATAGAAGTTGGAATTTTATTGATGGGAGAATAAACACCCCGAAAGTTAAATTTCTGCAAAATATGTGCAACTTTATAGCTAATTGATGGAAAGAAGGGAATGACAACAGAATTTTTATAATCTCCTAAAATAAGAGTGTGGCTTTTAGTGTGTTGAGATGAGAATTTTTTAACTGCTTGATTAATAATGTTGTGGTGAAAAGCCCCTGTCAATAGCTATTGCTTTTAAATAATTTAGTTCTTCATCAGGCTTTGGGGCAAAGAGGAGGGGGAGCAACAGTTTGAGGGAAAGAGCACGGAAAACATAGGAATAAAATGAAGCTAACTTTTGTTTAGTCGGATGACAAGATTTAAAGTGTGGTGGAAGGCAAACCGATGAAGGTTTACGGTAAACTGTAGTACTGAAGTTGGATATGTTACGTGTGACCAGAATGTCGAGAAACGGAAGAGAATTAATTGCAAGTCTCAAGTTCAAAAGTGAACTGAATAGCAGGATATGAACTGTAATAAAATTAAAGTATACCTTACATCCTAATTAGGCAATCGCACAGAAAACTCATTAAAGTATAAATATTTTGATTTTCAGTGAATGCAAATACTATTACGTATAAGACTGCTACGTACTCATATTAAAGCCTACCCGTGTTTCCTAGAGCAAGAATTCTATAAGATTCGTGCATCTTGGGGAAGGGCAAGTAGTACTGAACATTAATTTTCACGATAATCTGCATGGAAACGCTCGGCACTTAATCAGACACCTTTTTGTAAACTGATATTTTATTTTTCAAGTACGTACCCGTAACAAACATTTCGCTCTTCTATTCGTGTACATGATCTGCAGTATTAAAACCAAATATCTTGGTCAGTTTTATAAATTTAATTAATATTAACAAGTGTTTCTTTAATTGAAAAAGGAAAATCATTCTACTTTAATAAAATTTCTGCGATTACCAGAATAGGATTCTAAAGTAATAAAACCTGATGAGACTTTGAATATCTAACTTATGTATCATTATAATTGTGCGAAACTTCTTTCGGCATACCGAACGTAACTAAATTATAAATAAGGACACCAGTAAGTCACGAAAGAAAATCATTGAATGATTTTAAGGAGAAAAAGAAATCGACCTCGAATTATCGTAATTTATTTATTGAGCAACCCCTCAATTCAATATGACATCAAAAAATGCAGATTATGAAATTAAACATCTCGATTAATCTTTGTCGTGCGAGAGTCAAATATCTGGTGGCGTTTTACTTTTTATAACGAGTGTAAAAAAGTTAGATTTCGTAATTTTTACTTCCTTGTACGAAGTAAATCACGAAAAATGTCGTTGTGCACCTCTCTTTTTGGTTGCAATCCGGATGCACCAAAAGTACATTATATACCCACTCTGTTTGTTATTCGGCTCAATGAGCTCAGTTTTTTTTTTTTTTTAATTCTTTTATGTTGGTAAACTGTGCATTTTTTGCTTTAAAAATAATTGAATTATATTGTTCTTATCTTCCGATTAAGGTTTTTATGCCTTTAGTTAATCTGCATGCAAAAGCTGTCGAATTATCAACAATTTAAAAGTTGTTTAAGTGCGGCGAAATCTATTTTTTTTATCATAGCAGCCAATTTTCTTTACATTTGAGACTTAGCAGAATAGTGAATTTAGTCTTTCTGCATCTTCAGTGTCTTTTTGCCGAGTGGGACCAAAAGGAAACTTTTAGTTTTGTGCACCGAAAAATATGCCTTTCTTGCACGGCGGCCTAATTGCTTCTTTTTTTGCGTAGAAACTCTAATTTTAATTGTTAAAATTATTATCCTCAAAGGCGGCAATTTGCCTAGAAGGGCTAACTAATTTCGTTTTGCCATTTTACGTCGATTCACTTTTGAAATTGTTGAAAATAAAATGATCATGTGATCTCTGGTGATCCTACGTTTGCAATCGTTTGATATCTGTTTCCCGGCAAGCCTTGCGATAAATGTTTATGTAAACAAATATTTAGAATTCGGAATGTAACGGATTTTTTTTTTTTTTTTTTTTTTTTTCTTACTAGATTAGTTTATTTTTATTCTTTTTCTCAGATTACCTGATTAATTATGCTTGGATTATATTTAAGTCTAATATGTTTATGTATGAGATGTGAATAAAAATTAGAGAAACTACATGGTCCGAACGCTTCATGAGAGAATCACGTTTATTCTTTTAGTGTGTATATCACAGTTATTCTTTAACTGCGATATAATGCTGTTGATTTTAGTTCAAAGAGATTTTTCTTTTTATATTTTTCCATATTTTTCAATGTTTAATTATTTTTCAATTTTTAATAAAGATATTTAAGGTTTTATGTATTTTTGCCTTGTCGCGAAGTGAGCACTGAATTAATTGAATGAGAAATATACCTCTAATGAAGTTCGAGCAAATAAGCGTAAATGAAATGCAGGAAGAAATGCGTATAATATTCCGTCAAGGAAGAGATGTGGTGTACACATCAGATTTTTTAAATTTATATTAAAAAAAAAAAGAGAGAGAGAGAGAGAGAAAGAAACGTAAAACTTTGAGGGATTTAAAACATTTTTGTAGTTGGAAGTGTTATGTCTACGACCAACACTTGCGAAAACAAAGGGTTTTTGTGTATTTTTTTCTTCTTTATGATAACTAGTTTAGGCACACAAACAGCTAGTTAAAAAAAAAAAAATAAGAAAATTAATTTGCCATATGGGGTTGTTTTAATAAAGGGGAGGGTCTTTTTTTGCTGTTTAATGTCAAAATCTTCCTTATTTCATTGTTATTTGAGCCGCGTAAACAATGTTTCTAATTTAGATTCAAATGTATTTAACAAGTATTGTTTGTAAAAATGTATTGTAATGGTCAATTTGGCGACGTTACCTGCATTTTTAAAATCGTTGTAGAGAAATAGAATTCGCAGGAGGAAAAATTTTAAACATCAACTCAGTAAGGATGTGTTTTGATTTAAAAATGAATTTATTTCTCAGCTCCTTGTTCTACTTTGTTATCGCCAAATCGAGTTTAAAAATTGTTATTAGTAAATAATATCGGATAC